TTTATGCACCCTCTCCACACCACTCATGCTTTTATAGACCTCTATCATATCCCCCCTCAGTCTCTTCTTTTCTAAGCTGAGAAGTCCCAGTCTCTTTAGCCTCTCTTCATATGGGACCTGTTCCAAACCTCTGATCATTTTAGTTGCCCTCCCCTCTCCCACCTCCTTTTCCCAGTCTCCCCGAGTTTTGTTCAATAAAGAGAGATTCTATTTTTGACCACACGTGTCCTTTATTTTGTACATCAGGAAGGGGGGCTAGGGAAGGGTAAGTGGAAGGATGTGAGGGAGCCCCCGATGGGGAGGACTGGGCTGGCTCTGCGGGCTTCTGGGGGTGGAAGCTCTCCTGCAGCCCCCCAATTGTCCCCTCTCCCCAGATGGCAGCCTGCGGCAAGTGCAGCCGGTCTGATGGCCGAGTGCTGTGATGTGCCCAGTGTGGGCACTCAGGGCACTCCAAGAAAGGACTGCTTTGCAAGCGGGGCACCCCTGAGAACTGTCTGTCCGGGGTGGGGGTCGGGTCCCTTTAAGCACAGCCCTCGGCTAGCCTGAGGCAGCAGCTCCATGCTCTAAGTACTCATCTGATGCCCTGCCGGCACTGCTTCCGGCCATCCTTAACCCCGGTTCAGGGTCCACTTAATGTGGACATGCTAGTTCGAATTAGCAAAACGCTAATTCGAACTAGTTTTTTAGTCTGGATGCGTTAGTTCGAATTAGCTTAGTTCTAATTAACTAATTCGAACTAAGTTAGTTCGAATTAGCGCTGTAGTGTAGACATACCCTTGCTGAGTACTTCCCACTGACTTGCATGTGTTTGTAGCTATGTGCAGCCTATATTTGCACAGTTTGCATGTGAGATTGTTTGTGTGTTGTTTGCATCTTTCTCTGTGGATTCATATATCTGTATACATGTACACGTGTGCTTGTATTTTCGTGTCTCTGTGCACGCCTGTCTGTTAGCATGTGCTCAGTGTTCCAAAGCATGTGTTTTAGTAAAAGTGTGCTTGCCTTGAGTGCATGTGTGTATCTGTGTGCTGACACACTTGTGCACAGGATGGAGCTATTTATAGCGTGCATACACACACATATGCAGGTGTGGAAATACCTCCAGTGTACATGCACATGTAACATGGGCGTGTTTGTGCGCAGCACACATGCACGCCATGTGTCCTGATCCGTTTGCAGCATGCACACACACACACACACACATGGACATGTCCATATTCAACACACACATGTCCATGTGTGAACATTTATCAGTGAGCTTCAGCCTTTTCCAGCCACCCAATCACACTGTGCACCCCCAAAATCTCCATGAGCCAAATGGAGGCTGGGGAGGGAGTGCGCAGGATGGAGGGCCTGGTTCTCCTGGAATTCACTATGGCCTGTCCCCTCTCCAGTGGCTGTAGGTGTCACTTCGGTACCTAGCAGATCTCATGGGGGGCAAAAAGGAATCCAAAGCTCTCTTAATCTGTGATGCATGTAAGCCGATTTCATGGCCACAAGTGCAGTTCACACGAGGAGCCCTCCCCATGGCTAGGCTATCACCCCATGGCTATCACCCCATGGCTAGCCCTCCCCATGGCTAGGTCCAGAGGAGGCAGGGGTGGGGGCAGGAAAGAGGGGACCCCCAAAGCTAGATACTGATGAAGATCTGCCCCCTCATATGGGTCATGGAATGGAGGGGGACTCCCTTACTCTATAGCACCCAAGCACTCCACACAGACTGGGGCCCCAAAGCTGGCTCATACTGACATGCGGGGGGACACAAATGGCAGTTAGTGACCAAATTACAGAGCACTCCAGCCCCAGGTATTTCCCCAGCTCCCCACAGCCTCCACCACCCTATTCTGCCCAGAAAGACCTCCTCTCCCCCCCTCCCCTTCCTCATGGCCACCTCCCCAGGCCTCTCCCACAGCCCCCTTGGCCTTCCTCCACAGAGACCTCCTATCCCCACCTCCCCACAGCCATTTCTCCCTGTGCCTGCCCCACATTCCCCTGTCTTCTCCATTCAGAAATATCCTCTTCCCCACCCCCACAGCCATCTTCCCCCGTGTTTGCCCCATAGCCCCCTGTCCTCCCAGCCCAGAGACCTTCCCCACTCCCTCTTACCCACCACTCCCTTCCCCGATAGTCCCTTTCCCTCCTTCACTAACCTTCTACCTGACCCACCCTCCAGAGCCCCTTCAGCCCCAACTCTCCACTCTCCCATGGACCACCCCCTCCTCCCATCCCCTGATTGCCCCCCATGGTTCACCCCTCCCCCACCATTCCAGCCACCCCTCTCTTCATCCACCTGGCACCCCATTCCCTGCTGCCCATGCTCTCTTAAAGGAGCACCCCAGTGTAGTGAGGAGGGGCAGACAGCAATGCAAAGACAAACCCCACACTCCCCATACCTGCCCCAAGGTGGCTCCCCACATGGGACTTATCCCCTGATTGCCCCCCATGGTTCACCCCTCCCCCACCATTCCAGCCACCCCTCTCTTCATCCACCTGGCACCCCATTCCCTGCTGCCCATGCTCTCTTAAAGGAGCACCCCAGTGTAGTGAGGAGGGGCAGACAGCAATGCAAAGACAAACCCCACACTCCCCATACCTGCCCCAAGGTGGCTCCCCACATGGGACTTACGGCTCGTGCTCAGCCAGAGGGGGGGCTCTGTCCGGGGATCTGGCTGCCCCCTGGGGTTCAGTCCACGCTGTCCGGCCAGGCCTGAGTGCTGGGCATTTCCCCTTCCCCCCCGCCCCCAGC